AGTCTGCCCGGGCAGTAGAGATAGGAGGCACTAGGACCCAGCGGCAGCAGTTGCTGCAGGGAGGCAGCATGGAGCTGCAGGGGAGAGACAGTGACTCTCTGCTCAGGGCCCCGGGAAGGAGGGGGGCAGCAAGTCGGGGCCCGGGGACACTCGGGGGAGGCGCGGGGGGGCGGCGGGGAGATCACCCTAAATATCTCTGTGCCAGCAGCTTTTTTTTTTCTCTGCCGCTTTCTGCGCCCCTCAGCTTTGGGCACCCAAGGCAAGTGCCTCACTCACAGGGCCGTAGCAACCCATTAGGCAACCTAGGCGGTCGCCTAGTGTCACGGAGTGTGGGGGAGACCAGGCCCTGCACCCCCGGCTTCCAGTGATTCACCGTGACTCTCAGCCAGCCAGTTGAATGCTGAGAATTAACTAAAGGGGGAGGGTGCTGTTGTCAGTACCGGCAAGACCTGTTTTGGACTGTGTTTATTTAGACGACAGGAACACAGTCCAAAACAGGTCTTGCCGATACCGACAACAGCACCCTCCCCCTTTAGTTAGGTCCATCTGGGGGCCCCAGGGAGGTCACAGCCCCGTCGGGTCCCCACTCCCCATCTTCCAACAAGCTCCCAAACCTCCACACTCCCTTCAGCCTCCTCCTTTCTGGCCTTTTCCCGGCTCCTCCCCCAGCCTTTGTGTCTTTGTCCAGTTTCCCGGGCAGAGGTGTCACCTGGCCTCCAACCCCCGTCCTGGGTTCTCATGTTACATACTCAGGTATCCTCCCTTCCTCAATGCAGGCAGCCCCAGCAAAACTCCCCTGCAACCTTCCCAGGTCAATACTCCCCACTCAGCATTCAAATAACACATCAAGAACATTCCCACTTCGTCACATCTAGGGCGCTACAATTTGGGGGGCGGCGACTGCGGTGGTATTTTGGCAGCGGGACCTTCCGCCGCCTCTGTGGGGGCCGGCATTTCGAGGCGGGACCTTCCACCACCTAGGGCGGCAGAAAAGCTGGTGGTGCTCCTGCTCACTCGCCTCGCCCTTGTTACGGCACTGCATGGTTGTGAGCCACTCCAGGCAGCGTGACAGATGGGGTAGTGGTAAGTTGGTGTGGAGTTGGCAGAGACTGACATAGAATTGAGTGTCCTTTCTGGACAATTTCAGCACCCAACCCGTAAGTAGGAATTGCAGCCCTTGCATCCACAAAAAAAGGAACGGCAAATGTCACGAGAAGGAGTAAATATTCTCCATAACTAGTCCAGGATTCTCAACCAAAGCATCAAACTCCAGCCTGAAGAAGAATGCATGTTGTTATTACATAGGAAGAAGGACGTCTCTTCTTGTGAGCACAATCAGAGCCTGCCTGCTCTTAACATGGCTTTATCTGTACTGCAGTGTAGTGTCTAATAAG